CCCCCCCCCCCCCCCCCACATCCTCTCTTCTACATACAAGTCCACCCCATCAACCCTCCCACATACAATAGACAAGAGTAAGACTTTATTTTGAGATGTTATGCAATTACTTCTATATACACTACTCAAAGATAGATCACGACAAAAATATTTTTGAAATAAAATTAGTATGTTATAGATGCTTTGATTTTAAGATATGATTTGTTTTTATAATTTGTTAAAATTATATCTTCTGAAAGATTTTGTGTGCAGCCGTTGACAGCTCACAATCTCATTAACTCATTAACCTCCCACTGAAATAATTGCCCACACCTGCTTTAACCAGTAAATAGTGTTTTAGTATAGTCCTTACTATGTGTAGCAATGTGTTGTTTTTAGTAATGTTATAATCAAAGTCAGAACTTTAATTGACTAATTTTGATCTTATAATCGTGGCTGTGCAGGGTGGATTTGATTTAAATCAAATGGATTTAGATATGATTTAAATCACTGATAAGGAAGCCTCGATTTGATCAGTTTTCTACAAAAAGTGCGTTCTTGTTGTTTGACGCAACCTTCATCAAAATATTGCCAAACAGGGTCTCTTACAGCCTTGCAAGCCTGCTTCCATGATAGGTTTTCCCTTTTACCATACCATTCACTCACTAGATCTCAAATCAGTGGAGAGACTGTACTAAGAAATGTATCCTTCAAGACTTCTGGAATATTCTGCTCAAAATGTTTATCGTTTGTATCTACTGCCCCTTCCTCCTTGCATTTATCTGCAGACTCCTCCTCCGTGCCCAGATGTACTCTACCTCCAACAATCCTCTGTTCGTTTAATTTCTTGAAATTTTGCACTTTTAGAGAGTGGTAAGGGCTTGATTCTGTACACAGACTTGCAGAGAGACAATAGGACTGATGGGTAGGTAATTAGGTCTGTTAATCTCTCATCTCCGTATACCACTGTTAACAAGGATGTTATCTCTGGAGGCACAAGCTGGCGAAGTGAAACTAAGTATCATAGAGATGTGTAATGGTATCTAGACTGAGCGCCGAGTACCATTGGATAGAGTGGTTTCTTTAATATTTACTAATCTATAGAGGAGCCTTTAGGAACCCGTAAGATTGGACCCCTAATACAGTCCATGGTCTGTTGTGACCTATTTATATAAAACCTCTTTAAAAAGTTACATGAATATATTGTCTCAGATAGTATATAATTAGATATTATAGTCCCCATTCCATAATGATATCTTTGAGCTCTAACATAACTTAAATTTAAACTATCTTTATGTAAAAAAGAAAAAGCCACTCACATACCCCTTAACCAGAAAAGTACTGGTTTTATTTTGTTAAATAAAATCTGGTTTAAATTAACAAAAATCTAACTTTTTAATTTAAAAAAAAAAAAAAAAAATCTTTGATTTTTATCTACCCTGTGACCTGGATTTTCTAAAGGACCCTAATTGGGTGCAGCATTGGGTCTGGCAAATAGATAACTAAGCTGATAAAATCTGGTGTGTCTGTGTTGTCTCAAAAGGTTAAAAGGTAGTTTTAGTTTTCCTGTACTGTATAAGGAGGAAGAAAATGATTAAGTGACATTGGTTTATATCTTTTCAGAAGAAACCAAAGAGACAGAGGTTCCTACAGTACCTCAAAATAGTCAACTGACCTGGAAGCAAGGCAGACAGTTATTAAGACAGTAAGTAATATAATTGAGTATCTGTTTGTATACTCAAGTTTTTCCTCTAAAGCATTAAAACACCTCACTTTGCTGTGTGAATTTGCATTGTCAGAATGGTCAAATATTAGTTGGCTATGCATGATTTGCTAGTCTCAGCTTTTTTAAAGCAGTGGGCATAAAGCTGTGGCTGCCTTACTGTTGACAGTCTTGTAACTGATATCAGGAGCAATCCATGAGCAAGTGGATTTTGATGTAGAAATTCTTTTAATACGTGACATGGGAAGAAAATTGATTTTACTATCTTGTCTTTTAAAAATAGAAGCCTGGGTACATACATTTCTACTGTTTCTCATTAATTTTGTCCTTTCTTTCCCCCAACCTGCATAGATATCTTCAGGAAGTCGGTTACACGGACACAATATTGGATGTACGGTCCCAGAGGGTAAGATCTTTACTTGGGCTCTCCAGTTCAGAACCAAATGGTTCAGTGGAGACAAAGAACTTAGAACAGATCCTTAATGGAGGTGAATCTCCTTCATCTAAGCAAAAGGGACAGGAAATCAAAAGGTAGGTGAATATATGTGACTTTTTTTTTTAATGTTTGATTATTGGATAATGTTGACTTATTTTTATTAGTAATGTGTTATTTCAGACAGACAGCTATGGTATTTTGGTATTGAGAAATTGATTAGGCTTTTATAAGCTTCATATATTACCTATTTATAGTTCTTTCTATGTGTTGGTCAGTTAATATTCATATAGTACGGATGAGTTCATGAGAGTCCACAAGTTTAATTATTTTAGAAACAAATTATAAACATAAGTTAAAATTATTAGTATATTTTTCATGTCTTTAAGCTTCAACTATGAATATTAATTGGACAGTGTGTAAAAATTAGGCTTAACGCTTTAAGGTGGTATCAGTTTTGACACTACAATGGTACTATTCATTCATTAATCTACGTAGGGAATTATTTTATAGTGTCTTTCTCCAAGAGTAATCCCTTTCAGTTGGATTTTTTTTGCTGTTTATAAAACTTTTAAAAATGATTATATAAGGTTAGACAGCAAATATATGTGTGACTTAATCACTTACATTTCTTCTCTAATCTCATGAACTTTTTTTTTTGTAGGAACTCTGGTGATGTTCTTGAAACATTTAACTTCTTAGAAAATGCAGATGATAGTGATGAAGAAGAGGAGAGTGACATGATAGAAGATATTGCAGAAGGAAAGGAAAAACATCGGATAAATAAAAAACACAAAGTAAAGATCTTTTGTTTTTGTTGACTTATGGTCATGTACATCTGAAATTTACTAAGTCTTGTGCTTTTAAAATACCCTGAAGAAACTTGTGTTTCTAATACAAGTGAATACATTTGGCTTAATAGGTTAACTTTTCTTGTACTCGCCTGCAGCCTTTTGTGCACATGTAAGTAAACACATTTGGTTTACTTTTTTCCAGAATTTGAAATGCTTTTCAAACAAACTTAACTGGTGCTTGTATCGTTCTTTTGAGTAGTTGTAATCTGCTCATCAAACCAGCATCTTCTACATGCAGTTAAGACTTCTGGCCCAGATTTATTCTGCTCAAAGATGCAATTATCTTCTATTTTGTTTGTGTACATTCCCTAAACTCTCCCCCAGAGCCTTTGTTTTACTCCATTAAAAATTTTAATATTAATAGTTTATTTGGTAATCTTACAATGGTGCTCTCTGTTTCCATAGAGGAGAGCAAAATTTAATCTCTGCTAATTTTCATATTAATTCAGCCATTTTGGAGTAGTTCCAAAGACTTCTATTTGCTTCTCAGTTGAATGGTTACTTGGCTGTTGTCAAAATAGAAGGGGTAGCGTCAGACTGTGTATACTGTAGAAGATCTTGACAGGGTAAAGAGCAAGTGTGAACCAAATAAGAAACTTAATAGTACAAGAAAAAAAAAAGACTGAACATTGAAGGTGTGCTTGTTTCTTTGTTGCCAGTCAGATGGGGGTAAAAATCCCACTAGCAAATGAAAATTATTTCCTTTATTCTTGTGATCTTTCTTCTTTTGCCCAAGCAGCCTTTCAGCCATTGCACAGATATGTCCTGCCTCCTGCACGGCTCCTGGTGGAACCTGAGGCATGCTAGGGGCGGCAGAGAATGCTCCTATGGCTGCCAAGTTGTGCCTGCTTGTCTCACCAATCAACTGATTGGTGGGATTTGTGGTAGGAGGGAATACTCCTGGGTCTGGAATGCTTGTGTACCTCTATTGTCTGCCGTCCCGCATCTACCTCCTGCTGCAGTCCTCCAGATTGAACCAGACAGGTTCATCTTCTTTCACAGTGGGAACCCTCCCAGTGTTTCTGGAGGGTTCCTACCTCAGGAGAATGTTTCCCTCGCTGCCAGTGAGCTGATTGGTAGCACAGGGGACGGAGTCCTATGGTAGCTATCAGGTAGCCTGTGCTTTGTCCCTGCCCCTGTCCTCCAGGCATTGCCATGTCCTGTCCTCCACACGCCCCCCCCCTCCACCGTGAAGCATACAGGTGGTCAAACAAGATGGGGTGGAAGAAATCTGGTAACCGATATAACTTTTTAGATCTTTTAGATAATTTTTCTTCCACAAGAAAGTTTCATAACATCTGTATGCTCCCCTTTTTGTGCCAGGAAAAAGGCTTTTCTCTCAGAACAAATGGAATGTCTGTAGCAACCTCAGTTTTCCTTTATGGTTTCCCATTCTCTGGTCAACTTTTTGGTAGACTAGACTGTATTGCCTGTCTCATTAACCCTTTTCCCCTATTTAGAAACTTCCTTGAATCTTGTAGTTTCTAGGTAAAAGTTAGTTGTGGTATTTTTAGCCTATGGTGGTATATAATAGAGAGCTGTATGTTATTTTTTGGTTACTGAATATCTCTGCAGCTTGGTACCCTTTGGCTAAATTTTGTTTTGCTTTCATTTTAAATAGCTGGGATGTCAAAAAGTCTTGACCCTGACTTACTGGAAACTTGACTCTTGCTTAAAGTGCTATATTTTTGTAAATGATAACCAACTGTCTGCTGTTTTTCAAAGATGAAGAGTTGGTTTAAATGGATGTGAAAATGATGGATAATTCTCCAGTTTTAGTATTCTCCAGTTTTAGTATAATAGTAATACTTTTGTATTGCGGAAATAAGTAACAGTAAGATGATTTGAACAACCGATTTGTCTTTTTTTTGGCCAAGCTATATTTAACTTTTAATTGCAACTGGAATAGGAGGACAGAACTTTTTTTTTTTAACCATGGCAAAATATAGATTGTTTTTAAGGCTTTTTACAGAGTTCTTAGAAAAGCACGAAAAGTGGCTAGATATACCAGCTGGTGACTTTTTCCAAGTAAGAAAAGAGGAAAATAAATAAAACTTCAGCAAACCAAAGCAAATATCGGTCTTCTTTACTTGATGAAGATTGATGGAATATATTGCATATTTAACGTACTTCTAAGAAATGTGTACCTCACTGTTTGCCTGTCTTATTGATGATATTTTTCCTTGCTACTAAGTCCTAATTTAAATTCCCCATTTCTTACTAACTTGAGATTTACTTTTACAGCAGAAAATTTGCTGGTTGTTTAATAGAAGGCGTTTCCCTAAAACTCAGAGAATGCATATATTGTGTTGACTTCCTTTGCAGATTGGTAATGAAGGTCTAGCTGCTGACCTTACTGATGACCCTGATACTGAAGAAGCTCTGAAAGAGTTTGATTTTTTAGTGACAGCAGAAGATGGAGAGGGAGCTGGAGAAGCACGAAGTTCAGGGGATGGAACAGAATGGGGTAAGAAATTGACTGAATGATATTTAGCAACATACAAAGACTTTCATAACAGTACATATGAGTTGCACTGCATGTTAAGATGGAATGGATGTGAGAATGTTTGTGGTGATTATGTGTTGGCAAAGTAAATGTTAAGTTAGATACATATGACATTGAAACTTTTAAACTCGTACCATGTGAGAATAGTTACAGTGCTTAAACTTCAAATCCAGCTTTGATTTGCTATTGAGGGCAGTTTCTGTATTTAATTTTTTGGTTTTTCTGGTCTCTGCTTTTGAACATACCAATTTCCTTTCTGGAATCAGCATTTTTTTCTTGACTAGAAAGTGCTGGAATTGTACATACCTGTCTGACCCAAGTCAGTTTTCAAATATCTGCTTTGTGTTTATCATTGATCAGGATTTATATTTATGTTTGTATTTCCCTTCTAAATATTTTTCCTGTAGGAGTTGGAAGAATTATGAAAAAACCCCAGTACATTATATTTTGTCCACATATTGAGATGCTAACTAATTTCTTGGTAGAATCAGTAACAGATGTTCTTTATATGGCTGCAGCTGTATTTAAAGTAGAAATTGAACTAAAATACTGATTACTGCCCTGTGAAATTCAGGAGCAGATGTATGTCTCTCTGGCATATGAAAATTGGATGATAGTCTTGAAAAAATAAAACAGCCCCCCCCCCCCCCCCCCCCCCCCCCCACCAG